CTGTCGTTTATACAAGGCGAAAGTCAACCTGCTTTTGTTAGTAATACAAAAACCTTACAAGTGTTTGCACAAAAGTCGGGAAATGATAAGGATAGCTTTATTGTAAGTACCGAGTTGCAAAAGTTCTGTCATACCCACCTTAAAAGTACAATGACTCGTTTACTATTCAACATAGCTAAGAGAAATTTGGTACACGAGATTATTCATTTTCTGCCAACATGACATGAAAAGAATTGACAAATGTCTTTCTTTATTCAAGGGGGATCATTTTATTCACACTGACTCTTGCAAAATCCAAATCAAAGTTTGCTCAGCATGGCGTGTGGCCTATTCCAGCTTGAATTACTGCTAAAAAAACATCTGTTCGTTGACAAAATTAATGTCCTTATGGTTGTCTGAAGAATCCCCTGCCATTCCTTGTGAAATGCAGTCTTCAGTTTCTGACGAGTTTATACGGAATGCGGCCTGTTTCTAATCCTCCAGTCAAGGCCATCTTACAGATGTTCTGTTTGGTTATGGCTTGTCGGTCTTGCTCGCCAGTCCAGAACAACTATATGTGAGGTGTACTGAGAAAATGAGTTACTTCTCACTATCCAAAAATGGAGATATTGGCCGAAAATCGACACAAGGGTCAAATTTGTAGATTTTCTATTTATGCTATATTCTTTAAGAATAACATGCTTTTTATTATTTCATACTTCTAAACTGTAAAAACTTCACCCATAAGCGTGATGTATATATTTCAATAAGGCTTGAATCCGAGAAGCAACTCATTTTGTCAGCACTCTTCACATATGATGAGTTTGGAAGGAGTTTTCACTGATGGTAGCCATTTGTGGTCGGGCGTTGTCTTGTTAGCACGTTCCATCATCCATGTAGGGCAGTCTCGTCACAATACCGTCGTCCTTTGAGGTTGCTTTGAAAAGTAGCCAAATGTGTACAATAAAGAGCAGAGATTCCACCCCATACCATCACATTTCAGCCACCGATTCGGGCTTCTTGGGGGACGTTAGATTTTAGAAATCTCTATCCTCTTCTTTTAAACACTTTTTCTCTTCCATCAATATGACGAATTAAAAACCTTAACCATTGCTTAAAAGAACACCAAACCATCGTCTTTAGTTTCATTGCCAATGTTGTTGTGCTAAAAGTTGGCGATTTGTTCGATGGAGCAGGTTAGAATGGCTCCACGCAAAGGGCGATGATCACGTAATCGACGATCTTATAAATGTCTAATAATGATGTTTTAAGACAGTCCGAAGTACCTGACAGTCTATGCACTTTGTTGGAACGGGTTTCGTACCTGGGTGTTGACAATAGCCCAATTCTGACGTCAAGTTGTCGCCCTTGGTTGGCTTCGCCTAAGCTTGTCTTGGACAGTTCTAGTGGTGTTGAAACGTTTGTTCAAGCGTTAGATGGTTCTTCTACACTCATTTACGTGTCTTGCAAAGCGTTGATTTCAACGTAGACCTAGAGAAATCAATACCATCACTTTGTCCACGCACTACTTCCGGTCTAGGATTTCTTTCGTCTACTCTTGCACAAGGAGTCCCATAAGTCCCATATGTCTTACTTTTAATTTTTACTGCAATTCTTATGCTGCACCGAAAATTATCGTAATACAATGGGTGTGACAGAACTTTTGCAACTCAGTATATCAAAATCTATTGTTACTGTAGGTAGCCCAATAACTGCACTAATTAATTATTCCGATATGATGTGAACCGTTGACACAAACTAACGGTCTTGTTTTGTCTCTTTGGGGGAACTTTGTAGAGTACATGTAAACGACAATTTGGTTAGTTTAAAAACAGGTGTTTCGAAATAAAAGTGCAAACACATGAAAATGACATATTTGCACCCAAAACTTGTCAATTACTAACTACCCCCTCCTCCCCCATTTCCCCAAATCTCGATTACCCTTCTCTCTGTACCTCTCTTTTTCTGTCTGCCTGTCTGTCTGCCTGCCTGCCTGCT